TATATGTATGTGGTGGATTGATACCCTTAATGTCCTTAGTTAGGTACCTCTTGGAGAATTTCTTTGGCTGGGATATTCTCAGAATACTCATCCCCTAGTTTTTTGTTTTGTTTTTTTGAGACAGGGTCTCACTTTGTTGTTCAGACTGACCTCGATCACTCGTGGTGATCCTCCTGCCTCAGCCTCCCAAGTGCTAGGATTACAGGCATGTGCCACCACACCTGGCTCATCCTCCAGTTTTAAGATCACCGAGAGATGCAAAGCCCTGCATGGGTTTTGAGCAAAGACTCAACACAGAATCATGTTGTTATGGTGGCTGCTTCCCAAAGAAATCACCTGTGGAGGGTTGAGTGGAAGAAGGTACACCAATTAGAATGCAAATACAGTAATAATTCAGTCCAGGAATAATGGTTGATGGACCAGGATAGTATCTGTAGACATGGTGGAAAATACGGAGTATAAGTAATAAAAGACTTGGCTTCATATGCACCTCAAGGCAATAAGTTAATGGTCAGATTTCTTTTTTGTTTTTTTAATGGTCAGATTTCTTAAGCAAAAGGTTTGCTTGCATTAGTTTTTCTTAACTTTCTGATGCCTGCAACTGTGCCTTTATTAAAATCTTGAATAAAAGTGTTATTTTAAAAACATAATAGGGGCTGGGGATTTAGCTCAGTGGTTCCACCACCTGCCTTGCAAGTGCAAAGTCCAGAGTTTGATCCCCAATAGCAAAAAAAAAAAAACTAATAATTATAGGGAGGAACCTACCCCCACAAAATTCATAGTGTGCTCTGAGAAGGGAGTACCTGAAATTGAACTGTTATGGAATATTTGTTGACACTGAAACAGAGACCCAGCTACACTGGACCCTCGAGTTACAACAGCCTGACATATGAACAACTTGGGTTACAACCAGAATTTTAGTTTTAACTTACAACCAGAATCTTGAGTTATGATCCGAATCCCAGCTGCTTGTGCTTCCAGAGTGTCTCAGATACAGATTTAACCCTTAAAGAGTTCTGGAAGGAACCCTACAACATCCTTTTGTGTGTGGGGTTAATTGAGAAATCCTGAGCCAATGTCTAAGGAAGCTGAGATCTGCTTGTACACAGGAGACTGAAGGCTGTGTAGAGGAGCCTGAGCCTTCAATTTACCAATTTGAGTTACAACCAGCCCTCAGGAACGAATTGAGTTCATAAGTCAAGGGTCCACTGTACATCCTTGAGCTGCAGTGGGGACCCAAAAATCTTACAGGAGAAATTGTAAAATAAATTCACAGATGAGGCTGATGAAGAAACAGTATCACAGGGTGAATTTCTGCTGTCAAGCCAAAATGCTTGCTTTGGCGCCTAGTTCTACCAGCTACCAGCTGTGTGGTTCGGTATAACTTATTTGCCTTAGTTTATCAATTAGTAGATGTTTGCTACTAAAAGGGGCTACCTCAAAGTTTGACAAATAATATTGATAAAGTGCTGTTAACAGAGCCTAGTGTATGGTAAAACTTGTGGGCCGGGGATTGAGCTCAGTGGTTCCGCTGCCTGCCTCGCAAGCACAAGATCCAGAGTTTGATCCCCAGTACCAAAAAAAAAAAAGAAAACCTTAATATAAAGATAGATCCAAAGTTCCCTAACGGGACAGAACTGGGAAGGGAAATGAGCCTTTTCTCAAGTGCTCCTTGGGAAAAACTCTTTAAGAAGAGGAATCGTACTGTGGGCTGATCTGAACAACAGGTAAAGGGAGAGGCAGTGTCCAGCTATTCCCTTACCTAGACTTCCAATCCTGACCCTCTTTCCAGGGCAATATGAGAACACCATGGTTGTGTAATAAAAGAGGGCACTGCCAGATCTGTGAGAAACCCTGGTGAGACTGCTGGTAGCCAGAAGTGAGAAGAGCTTTCCAGTTGTCCAGAAAAAAGAGCGCTGGGGTTGAGTGACCCAGGTAGGTAAGCAGTGGTGAGAGCACAGTGTGCCCAGTAGCTGGGCAAAGAGCTTGGCACCATTGAAGCACTACGTAGCGCGAGGGTAGCATGAAGACTTGCAAGAGTTGGTCTGTACCTCTTGAGTAGAGTGGCCATGGTCAACAACAGGAGCAGAACAGTATGTGGAGACCATCAGAGGAATACTGAGCTGTAGTTGGGATTTGAGACGTTTTTGTAAGTGGCCATACTTATATTCACCAGGGGATGAGCCCAGTGGATAGAAAGATAAGATTTTATCATTTAAAGTTTACTTCTCAGAGTTTCATAGTGTACAAAATGCACTTCAACTTCAGGGCACTCTGTCATCTGAATTAATTTGAGAACTACTAATACCAAGAGAAGCAGAGCAGTTTTGAGTCTATTGGCTTTTCTGTGTTTCAAAGACTTTTCAGGAGCACACTGGTAATTCTAATAATAGACATTTGAACAGCAGTTGGCAATTCACATACATTATGTAGCTCTTATTCTTGCAATCAGTAAGATACATCCCAATTTAGACAATAAATAGGCTTCATTGTGTGGCTATACTATAACATATTAGC